ATGAAATCTGTGTATGATAAACTGGTTTCTCAGTCACTTCGACATATTTCAAGAATTTATCGTAATAGCTTTTAGTAAAAGTTGTTTTCAATATATAATCAATTTTATTGCATTTTTTGACGCTTCATAAATACTGAAGTAGATGATCAGCTGTGAAGAAAGTTCACACTAATAAAAGTAATATGCCTAAGTTAAGCCTACGTACAAACATAATTCTGATCCTCATCAAAAATAGTTAGTAAACATTTTAGTAGTTAAATGTCGTTGTCAATTTGATTGTTTCCTTAGCTGAAAGTCATTTAAATAATATTGCTTAAATTGATTTTAAGACCATCAATTCGTGCAGAAATTAACGATTAGGGAATTCTGCTACTTTAACTGCTGATAAACATGCTTGAATTTATTGGCTACATTTTAGAATACATCATAAGTATAGTACATTCCCTTATCCATATCTGGATAATGTGTTTGTTTTTAGGTTATTATATATCATGTTAACTTTACTAGATTTAATCCACAAAATATCTGATAATGTTTGTATTCCAACAAATTCTGTTCAATACAACATAACTAAGAGAAGAAAATGTGTGTTAAGTAATACAAAATTAATTAGCAATGATATTATAGTGAATGAAAAACTTCTTCAACAATCTCTACAGTCATAAATCCATAGTGTTTTTTCCTTTACAAGAAACTTAATATCCTAGTTGAATTAATCCGTGTTATTCATTGAAAAACGGTAAATTTTACGTTGACTGAATAATAAATACTACAAAATACCACAAAAACTAAGTGAATAAGACACTTTTCTTAACAAAATTATTTTTATGTTGAATAGATTAAGATAATATCTTGAAATAGAAGGTAAAAGAAAGTGCTTTCGCTTTCAGATTTTACTAAATTACTGCTATGTAGAAAAAATCCAGATAATATGAAAACTACTTGAGATAGTAAAGTGTTTTTTTTCTCTTTATGTATAAACAAAATCGAAGAAAACGTTTCTGTGTACAGTTAAATGAACAGTAATAATTAATCTATCTACGCACTATCCCCACATAGTATGATTATTATTGAGGTGGTGGAGAGAGCATTTAGCTCAGGTGGATGGATGAGGTGGAAATCGGTTGTCTGAGGTAGATGATTTCGTCTAGGAGCTTTCGGTTTTTTCTGAACATCATCAGCACAAACTCCAAGTAGAAGTGAAGTATTCGAATTAATCCATATTCGACTCATGGCTTGTCCCGTCTACCTCGATCTTCATTAGCTGTTATTGACTTTTTAACTGTCATTGTCTGCCTCCATATTTTCGACGTATTCCCAGTGATTTGGTTCTTGATCCTATATTTGTCCAAGCTATTTATGATTGGTTGATAATTTGGATCGGTTTCGATCTGCTCACTGATTGCCGACTGACCTGAGTGCCAAGGTTCTAAAAATTCTCTGGTGTTGTTTTTATTCCCTTGATCGAAAATTTCAACATTTACTCACTTGAATGTTTGTCCATAATTGTTCACATGTATTGATATGTGGGAAAACATATCATAGCGTTTGACTGCTAATTGATGTTCACGCAGATGCAGCTGAAAGGGGAGTCTACTTTGTCCGAGGTAGTGTTTTTGGGAGTTTCAACAGCCTTTTTTGTAGATGATGTTCGATTTTTGTTCTTTTGTCCTTTTGAAATTTATGTCGTTAACGACCTTGCTGATCATGCTGTAGGCGTTTTGTAGCTCGTTCTTTTTGATGATGACGAACATATCGTCTACATAAGGAACCCTCATTTTTGACTTGATCGAGGTTTCTAATCTCTACATCACTATTTTTGAAAAAAGTCCTGATATTGGTGAGTCTATTCATGTTCCTTCAGTTGGTTCTTAGAATTTGCTGAATTGAGAATATGTTGTTAAGCATAAATCGATGAGTTCTAGTAGACGTCGACTTTGAAGTTTCATATACTTTGGGATATATTTGTCTTTAATGAGGAGCAAGAGTAGCGTTTTCTTGGCTAAACTTGGTTCGATTGAGGTAAATAAGACCGTTATATCCATCGAAATGACCAGTTCGTTGTTGTTAGTTACCTTTATGAATCTTCATTAAGCCAAAACAACAACTGAGAAAGAGATAAAATAACTTCATATTATTCTGTCTCAATTATTATGATTACTTAATCGGAAGTCGTCAAAATAATAATAAGTGTCTTTTATAATCTTACCTATTATATCCTTGTTCATGATTTATTCAATTTTTGATATATATTGTTTCATCACCAACATAAAAACATCAATATTCTTATCATGAATTGTTTCTGAATTACCGTTAAAACTATCAAGCAAAACAAACTACTTACTCATCTGTTTTATTCTTCAAACTTTTCGTGTTATCATGCATTAAACAAGTAAAACAACACAGAAATAAAGGGATACTGTAAGAACAATAAGAAAACTTGTAGAAATGATAGCGAAGTGAATTCACTTTGCGTGTACAAAATTTTTAATGAATTTTCTAATGTAATTAACAATTGAATCTTTCAGCTGTGTATTTTGCTCTGCCTTAAACAATATATATCCTTTATTTATCTTTTTAGTATTAAGACTAAATTGTTGTTTTAACTGAATGATTAGAATGTATAAGAAATGGGAAAAAATTTGCAAAATCTCATTGAGTATAGTTGCGTGTGATGAAGAAAATAGGTTAAAAGTTAAAAATAACATGGATTAATATAAATAATTGAAAAGTCTTGTTTAGCAATGATGATGTTGTTGTTTAAAATGTCCATTGATGAGGGTAATTTCCAGGTTCATCTGTCTTACTTAGATGAATGTTATGTAAATAAGTTTAGGTGTGCAAGATTTTTAATTACAACAGTAAGTTTTATCAAACGATGCTTGTAAATAAAAATGCAATAAATGAGTGAAGATTTTATTGTTTTTACGAATTGACAACAACTTAAAATTCACTGGAAACATAATGTTCACCAAGAGATTTGAAACCCATTGGTTTGATCAAACGAACTGGCATCCTAAAAATTAGATGAAACATCTGTCTAACGTGGGTCAATTACAAATTACTGTTCAGATACAACTAGCTCTTTATGTTTATAGTCTTACAATCGTACAAAATCCCTTCATTTTTAATGTAAGAAAGTTTTTGTCTTGACTAGATTGATTATTTGGATTTATTGAAATGATTTTAGTATATTGGACATGACATTTGAATCGATGAGTGAAAAACAGTGAAACTATGTAGTCGGTTAAACTTTTTTCATTATGTTTAATAATTAAAAAGTGTTTACTTTCGAATTGAACATCGAGTGAAATGAATAACTGCAACTATCTGCTTATTATAATATATACATAATTTAGATGATGTCGTTAGTTTTGATTGAAACAAGAAGTACGCGAAAACATTTGAAGGAGAATTTTATTTTCTTACGTTTAGATGTTATACAATAAACATTATTCCAATGAATTGGAAGTGAAATAACATGGTTTATTCAAATAGTTGCTGTTCTGTATAATTTTATTTACTGAATAAACGTACATTCATTAAATATTATTGAAAAAGATGAGAAATGTCAGTACTCGATTAAAATAAGTGATTTTTGTTATTATTTAATAATGACTTGATTTTTTCGAACTTCAGTAAATAATAAATTTGTTTTATTAACTGGTCATCAAACTGTTTCAAAATCTATCATCTTCCTCATTGTGATTCTTCAAAAATTCTTATAACTGTATATTTTTACTCAATATTTTAATTGGAAAATTTAGCCTTTTTCGTATTTGTTTTTGGTTTATTTCACATGAATAGTGAATAGTGTGAAAATAACAATCCTCAACTGAATCTGCTAAAAGAATTATGTTCTCTATAAGTTGATATATTTTCGTTAGATTTAAAAATAGATAACCATATAACTAGTTTGATTTCAAAAACTCTAAAAGAATGAATTTTGACAATTATTCATTCATTAATCACACTTTCATAATTGAAAATAATTTGAAATCTCTGTTTTTTTCTTGGTTTTGAGATAAGTCAATAATGATTGAGCAAATTAAAAATTATTACATAAATTAAATATGAGATAAATATTTTTCGAACAAAATAAAAATTAAGAATAATGGTGAAGCATTTAATTTGGTTATTTTTTAATCGAAACAGCACAGATCACAATGTCTTAATGGACTAGATAACTATTTATAGGCATATTCATCGAAAAAGAAAATGATAATAGGAGAAATGGGTTTTTGCACAATTGTTTACTAACAGAGGATTTTAGTCTGGTTCTTTTTTTGAATTGTAGAGAAATGATATATATCCATCTTATATACTTATGTCTATGTAACTTTTTGAAGACTGATGATGATAAGAGTATATTTATTGATTATTTTTATGACATGGTTACCGGCGTTAAATTCCGAGAATGAAATATATATACATTTTTTAATAATTAAATATCCGCATGTGAAAACCTACTAACAAATTTTGCAAAAACGGTAATATGATTCGAAAGCTTCTACAGTTTACCTTCAACCAATAGTATTTGCATGAGTAGATTAATTCATACGGAAGTTAATTTGTTTTACACTGTTCATAGTTAACTATATATAAAAAGTGATTTCACCGAATAAACACAGTTACTAATCTAATTAAAAACATAATTGACAGAGATAACTCTTTAAATGCTACAATATTCATAAATTTGTAGTGACATTATACTAAAACAAATCATATATTGATTTAATGTATGAATAATGAATTCTATTATTATACTGTCTTAAATTACAAAAATATACACAAGTATAACGAAAAACATGTTAGTAGTTGAGCTTATCATACATGAATTAGTAGCTATATATTCCAATAATTCTCTATCTGAAATTAGCTTTTTAAACAAAAATTTTATTTTTAAAGATTGAATTTCGTCACAAACACGTTATCACTGGTCCATTTTGTTTTGTTGTTGTTTACTTTCATTCGACAGATTAATTGTCAAACTCAACACAATGAATAATTATGACAACTTTGGTCTCCTATTAATTTTATTAAAAACATTATTATTAACTAGAGATTGTATTTCATTACTTCAAAATATCAATTCACCAATTGATCATGAATATTTTATTGAAGAAGAAATTCCTATTGGTACGGTGATTGGGAATTTAATGGAGGATGTAGTTATAGGATATGCAGATTTTGGATTAACAAAATCTTCACATAAACTCAACTCACCAATCGATGATGTTGATAATCCGTATAGTTTGAAAATAATGAACTTTGCTGATCCATACGTTAATTTGTTTGATGTAAGTTGATATTTTTTTGTGAGAGTATTTTGTTTTGAATTTTAATTTAGGAGGATTTTCATTATCATTCTATGTATTGATTTGTTTTTTCGGAATTCTTATTAAAGTATAAAAAAACAGATTTATTTCAATCGAGTTCTATTTAATATCAAGCATTTATCAGCCCATTGTCATTGCATATAATTAGTTTTTTAAACTGTGGTTAAGTAATGTATATTCACTAATTAGTTATAATCAGTTCAATAACATTTCTGTTTGTAAATACTTCAATAAAGACATTTCTATACTGAATTGTATTTGTATGAAATTTTCCAAATTGAAATAAAACAAATAATTCAGTGGTAAATATGCGAAATAATTAGTATATAGGTACTTCTCTGTAAAATAACTAGTATATATATATACTTATGTAAAAATAAATCTTAATCACAAGGCTCGATCTGTTTTGTTATTCATTCTAGTAACCAATCATTAAGCATTCTTCAAAATAATTGCTATATTGATCGCTTCGAGATTTAACCAGATCGTTAGAAATTTGTGATCAGTAATTTATGGCTATCAATCAATTTCATGTAAATTTGAAGACAAATAAACTAGAAAAAAACTTCCTAATTTATGGAAAAAAATAGATGATAGAAGGCAATTATCAGCGCTTTTCTGAGATTAATAACTTCCAATGAAAGTTGTAAATATTTTCATTCATTTAGAAATATGTTATATTTAAAAAATTCCATTCATTCTTTTACCATTTAAGTTAGGCCATGACGACGATGAGGTTTGTTTAGATAGATTGCACATTGTGGTGGTGTTTCATTCTCTGAGCTGGAGTTTGTGCTGATGATGTTGTTTAGAAGAACAGTGAAAGCTTCACAATCAAAATATCCAGCTCAGAGAACGAAACACCATCACAATCATCCATTTGAACTACAAATTTTCTCAACCATCTCATAGACTGTACAATAACATTCATGTAGAATATTATTTAATTTACTGAATTCTGACGATTTAGGCACTTCAAAAACTTCTATGATTAGTGCTTTTTAACCTGCTATCCAAAATTCCTGAAAATTGAAATGATAGATCTCAACTTAATGGTTTACACAGTTCAAATCATAGCGATAAATTATGATCTTCAATTCAATTTATGAATTAATTAAGGTTAACTAGTCGCACATGAGGAGGAAGCGGTCAATCAGTGCTCTATGGTTCTCAATGATGTCTCATCTGGTGATATTCGTAAAATACTAGTTTTTGCATAATTATTCTAAACGTAACGGAAAATCACTAAATTTAAAATGCAAACTATTTAATACATTGATCAACTTTCATTGCATTTAGTGCAAGAACAGGTATACTCAGCATTTTTTGCATCTCAATACATTGATTTCACCACTGAGTATTAAACTAAACTAGTCAAACAAAAATGGATTTTCATCTAATATCAACAATATGTTTTATCAGTGACTTTCATACAGTAACGAAAACTATATGTTAGCGAGATAATATTCACTGAATAACTGAAACAGTCATTTTGTATAACTGTTCATGTGTTTTTAGACATCACTTCTAGTATTTTACTACTTTCAACCAAAATATAAATACTTGATATCGCCTTGGATTAGATGTTAATAAAATCGAAGCATTGAGTGAGTTTTCACTTTAAGGCAGCTTCCTGGTTTTCCTTAAATTAAACAGTACTTGTAAACTTTGATCTGCAGGTTATAATTGAGTATAGATTTATGCTTTGTGTAGCAGTGGTAGCTCTAAGTTTATCAGATAATTATTACAACTTTAGTACTTTGATTGAACATTACTTACAGTTTTTCTATGTTCAAATTATTTCGGTAATTGTTATTCAGAATGGTAATTTTACTAATAGATAGATGAAAGAAACTTAAATTTATTAATTTTCTAAATGGTTAAGAATGGAATGCTTGCGTCACGATGATGATGATGATGATGATGATGATAACATGTAGCGGTCATTTAAATTCTTTTTCTGGGCTGTATAATATTGTTTAGTAATATTTTTGAGAAGTAAAAGATAGACTGTGAGTTGCGCACTGCTTAAAAAGCATTTATCTGGTTATCGAGATGAACGATAATTATGTACATAATTAGAGTAATTGCAAACATTGTGTACAGAAGAATGAAACTTTCGGGATACGAGATGAAAATCTAGGCTTTTGAAACTCAAATACATTCAAACCAAATGTTTGAAAGAATGAGCGCATACAATTTCACTTCAGTAATAATTAAAACAGTGCATCTCAAAATATTTAGAATTTTCTGAATAGATAAACTTTGCGCAAACTACAGGCTAAAGAAATTGTCGAATATGCAGGAGTTCAGTTTGTTCGATTCTGTGTCTGTGAAAATCGAATAATCATCAGTATAATCCAAGTTATGGTGGCGCTAAACATCGATAGATGATTTGGTCTTTAAAATAGCTGCGCATGAATATAAATGATTCTTGAGTAAAAGGCGACAAATATGTTCTATGAAGTGTAATCAGTCTAAAGATATTGTTAGAGCTTTATCTTCACTGAACTGTAAATGAATAAAATCAAGCCATTAACTCATAAGAAAACAAGTTATTTACACATATTGTTTCGTTGGTGTATAATGTAAGGGATAGTCTTATTACAGGAAATGAATATAGAATAATCTAAGTGTTATGAGTTTTTAGGGTATTTATATGATCTCTTAAGCTGGGTTAGAAATCGTCTTTGTTTTAGGTTGATTTTGCGAAGAAAGAAGTAGTGATTTACCCCTAATAGAATACTTTACTCTTGTGCAGTTGACATTATTAGGAAGTTTCGGTCTTTTAGGATATCACTATAACTTTTTTAAAATTTTACATAAACAAAAAATATAGCTTCATCATTTAGAATTACGGAATTACACTTTGCATGTGATGATGATGTGATGTTCACAAGTTCTACATTATCGATAAATAGTAAATACAGATGAAACATGGATTGTTAATATCTATCTTAAAGAAGAATGTTATGTCCTTTTTTGGTTGCAGTAAATCTAATATACTGTCTAATTCTGTCAAGCATTCCACAGAAGGACATTTAAGTTTTTCTTAATTTCTAACTAATAAATATAATTCATGTAAAATAAAATTTAGAAAGATTTGAGTAAAAACAATAGTTGAATTCATGTAAAAAAAAAACTCTTCTTAAAAGACTGCTTCATCCGAAATATATTCTTCTATTTCAAGAAAAATATATATGACACGTACTAAACAACTGTTCGTAAATGTTAAAACTTCTTTTATTACACAACTGGGGATGTATGGACACATAAACCGTGAAGCCGGCTAGCAAATTACATATGAATTATCGAATAAACTCACTACTTTTTAAAGAAAATTATGGTAAGAATAACTGAAAAGTGATATGCACTGCCGATTATACTTCATACGAACGCTCAATAATGCAATGCAATCGTCTATACATACTTCTGTAATAGCTTGACTGAAATAGGATGATAGGAATAATAATGTTTTCTAAATTATGTAGAACATGTTCTTATAAGCGAAAAAATTATTGTTGTTTACTTAATAATAACATACTAGTAAAATTTATTGAATAAGCAACATGTTTGAATATGTTCAAGTATTTTACAATTCGAATTAATCGTCACCAAAACACTATTTATATTTGTTAACTCAAATTATTAACTTTACGCCTAATAAACTATTTAAGATTTTCCTCTATTTAACATTGAACACAGTCAACTTGCTTTGCTTGGCAAACAAAATTTAGGTTTTAAGGGTTTAGAGAAGAACAAAAAAAACTATAAATTAATTTTTATTTCAATAAGTTAACTAGATAAGAAAAAGAAGTAGGACTTTTCAATTAGTTTCATGTACGAATTTATCAGTAATTATAGGTCTTTTTAAAAATATAGTAAAGATGTTCAATTCTCATTCGGTAAAATGAACGATTTAGCGTTTTTCAGTTAGCTGAGTTGCTTTTAAAAATAAAGTTGTTTTTTCTAGTTCATCTTATCTCAAAACAAACAAACAAAATGAAAGTAACAACAATAATAATATTACTTACGATAATAAGTAAACTATATTTATAAACATCATAAAGATGATTGTTCTAAAGCATAAATGTCCAGTTTAGATCTACTTTCATTGTCCAGTATTTCTCAGGGTAGAACAAATAGTGAAGTTTGTATGCTATAGTTAAAAATTGTTGCTGAGTTAAAAAAGTGGCGACTGATAGCAAACATAATGTGTATATTGTTATATCACTAATCTTATAATCTACTGACTGAACTTTAAAATCTCTTTCTTAACAAACACTCATCAATTTTTCATAGTGCATGTCTTCACCAGAAAAAACTTTCAAATATTCCTGATTATGTATGTTTTTTCACGACATTCTATAAATTAAGTACCCTAGTTATTCTGTTGAAATTTGAGGTTTTCTAATAAGCTATAGGCTTTTGTCTATCATGTGAAGATTACGTAGGGAGTCTAAGACTTGAGACAAAGCAGTTGTCAATGATTTCTTGAAACCCAGTCGTTCTAGATAAATCATTTTCTGAATACTGGTAAATACAAGTCAAGCATTTTTTTATACCGAACGTTTTCATTATCAGAACTAAAAATAAAAAGGTCCCTCCACAACATAGTTTAACTGTACTCATAGAAATTTTCTAAGGACAAAAATTTAGGGCACAACCTTAAAATTTTGATGGACGATTTGGTCTAATATTGAATTATTCTCCCCATTCAAATACTTAGTTGACAAGCTATAAAACAATTGAGAATAGAAGTCTACTAAGATCTGCTAAACAGATTTACTTTCAATCATAGATAAAAATGATTCGAAAAGTTCAGTTGCTTCCATGGGATTTGATCATACGCGTGTACAGATTGAGTAAATTACCTGCAAAACAGTGAAGGATATTCTTTTGTTAATCATGGACAATTTCCAGTCATTAATCTAATTTAATTAAGTAAAAACGAAGTTAGA